GATGACACGCAGAGAAACGGAGCAACCGACTGAAGATTCCTGTGTGTGCGTCCGCAGGCACAGGCTGCTTTCAGAAGGGACCAGAGGACAGTGGATGTGAGAGCAAAAGAGACGACTTTTTCCATTACTTGCTCTTGTTGTGATGGCTATAAAAAGTTTTCACTACATAATGACTTCACCTTCCAATTTCAAACTTAGTTCTGATACACTTATTTGCATATATCTTGGAAATACAGTCATCTGTACCCTGGCTTTCCTCACTCCCACCTACCTTGGGTCTGTTTCCTAGCTGCCAAGCAGCCTCCTCATTTCTCTTTCCTCTGCCTTCCTCCACTCCTACTCCAGTGGCCATAGCTGGGTTGGAGGCCAAGAGGCCCTGAACAATCCCTTCTTCTGCCTGAAGGAATCTGGAGTGAGCTATCTATTTCCCAGGATTGAGTGGAGAGACATAGAACTGTCTGCTCTTTTTGGGTGAGAGCTTCTGAAGTCTGTCTTGTAGGATTTGCCAATCCATCAGCCCCTAAGCAGTGCCCTATCTTGTGTATCCAACCACCTTCTTAGCAGCGCTGGACTCCGAATGTATTCAGAAGGGATATGAATGCTACATGGCCACATTAGCATTCTGCTGGTTTTGTGTAGCAAAATTTCTCAATCCTATAGGTGACATTCTCTGTGATATGGGACCAGAAGAAAACCTTGAAATGGAGAAATAAGGGCGTGTGGGGCAAGTAGAACTGTCAGGAATCTGGTAGAGAAGTCAATCATTCCCTTCAGTTTTGGAAAACTATTTCAAGAAATCCATTTACTAAAGTTCAATGATACATACATATGGCCCAGCATTTCTGCTCTCACACATTACAGAAATATGTTTTTATATCTGCTAATGGATATGTGCAAGAATGTTCATAGAAACAGCCATTCAGATTAGTTCCCAGTAGGACACTACTAGTCAAATGTTCAAGTGAACTCTATTCATTAAACTGACAATTGATGGCAAGAGTGAAGGATCTACTGCCCCGGGCAGACTCTTGTAGATGTAACTAGGCCTCTGAACACAGAGAAGTACAGGTTCTATAGTGTTGCTGCCATCGACTTTGCAAGGTAAATAATATCGGTCTCTGTTGTAAGTCTGACTAGTTGGTGCCAAGTGATTGGGAAAGGACTGATTAGAATTCGATAAAGGGATAGAGGACATAAAATTTTAATTTATGAATATATAAATTGGTTAAATATCGATGCTCTGAAAAGTCATAAATTAATTAATTAAATTAATTCATGACTTGTATAGTCTTGAATGCATCTTTACTTTAACATGAAATACTTTGTAAAAGCAAAATAATTAATATTAATTGCTCTCTAGAACAATGGTTCTTTACCAAGCTCAAAAGTTTTGTTTTCTTTTGTTTGTTGTTGTTGTTGTTGTTGTTGTTGTTGTTTTGCTTTTTTGGGACAGAGGTTTATATAAACCAGACTGACCTGAATTGACTATGTAGCCAAGGATGACTTTGAACTCTTGATTCCCTGGCCTCTATTCCCAAGAGCTGGGATTATAGGCATGTGACATGTGTCTAGTTATGTATAATGCTGGGGACCAACCCCAGGGATTCATGCATGCTGGGCAAACATTTTACCAACTAAGTCACATAGCCAGCCCTGTTTTTTACTTTTGAGACAGGGTCTCATGTAGTTTAGACTGTCCTTGACCTTCCTCTATAGCCTAGGATGGCTTTGAACTCCTGATCCTCCTGCCTCTGATTTCCAAGTCCTGGAATTACAGATGTGGACCCACTGGATCTAGCTCTATGTCTTCTTTTGTAACAAATATATTAAAATATCCCATTCTCTTCTGAATTATAGTTATAGATGATCTTACACAGTGTATGTGTAACAGATATTAGGATATATTAATTATACATAAGAGTGGGTTTCACGATGAAACTGTCATGCACGTGTATAATGTATTTTGATTATACTCACCTCCATTACCCTCTCTGTTCCTCCTCACATTCTTCCTGATCCCCTTTGTCTCAAGTATAATCTTAAGCTTTTCTTTTTATCTTCCTCTCCTCCCTCCCTTCTCCTCTCCCTCCCTTCCCTCTTTCCTTCAAGTCTTAATATATAGATTTGCCCAGCTGATCCGAATCTCGAATCCTCCTGATCTTCCCTCCCTTGCCTCCCAGAACTGGAATTATAGATGTGCTTACCATGGCCAGCTTAACTCATTCCTTCATTTGTTTTGTGTGTATGCATGTGTGTATGCATGTACAGACATACGTGTACCATGGTGCGCATGCAGGGGTCAGGACAACTCTTTGGAGTTGGTTTCTTCTCCTGCCATGGGTTTTGGGGATTGAGCTCAGGTCATCAGGCTTGCTGAACAAGTACTTTTTACTCACTGAGCCAGCTCACTGGCTCCTAAATTTGCCTTTTTTTTTTAAAAAAATAAAGATTTGGCCAATACTTGGAAGGCAGAGGCATGAGTATTAGAAGTGGAAAGCCAGTCTGGGTTCCACAGCTAGGCTATGTTGGATTTGAGTGTCAAATATCTTGCTCATGTGTTTGAACACCTGGTCTCCAGTGGTATGTTTTGGGAGGTTGTGCCTGTTTGGGGAAGTGGAGCCTAGCTAGAAGAAATGAATTACTGAGGATGAGGGAGGTTTGAGGTTTATAGTGCAGCCCAGTTTCCCATCAGATCTCCCTGCTTTCTGTTCTACTGAAATACAAGGAGTCCCAGCCCCACGCTCCTGCAGCCATGGAGCCATCTGCTGCTGTCTTCCCTGACACCATGAGCCCCAATCAACCCTTATCGCTTAAGTTACATTGTGTCAGACATTAGCCATAGTCACAAGAAAAGCAATGAGTGTACCTACTTTCACAAAGATTCTAAATAAATAAAATTAAAAATGTAATTTTATTATTAAAGATCAATATGCTGCCTTAGTTGAACAATTTTAAAAAAAAGGATGAGGGGGGAAAACTTTCTAATAAAGTCACACATCTCCCTGTATATTAGTGTTTGCTGGCAAATTCTCTGGAAGGTATGCCAGAGTTTGTGCCTTCTGTAAACATCTCCAGGGATGCAATAGTTGCAAACGTTCACTGAACTGGCCCTGTACTGGCTAATTAGGCCAGGATGATGCAATTTTCTGAAATGGTGAGATGGTCTGTTAAAGTACCAGGTAGAGCTCAGCCCGAACAACTCTTGTCCCACTCATCACAATGTTGTTCTCTAGGGGTCATGTTCAAACCATCGGAAGTGCTCAGTGTTTATATGTTGAAGTCTGCTGGAATTCTAGGCGTGTTCAGTTCTCACAACCTGCAAGGTAGGGATTGCTGTCAATATATCTGTGCTTCGTGTGCCGTAGCTTCATGCAAGGTGCTGCTGTCCCTCCTGGTTTTGTTGATGAAACCAAGCAGAAAATCCAAATAACATTCCCAGGCTCACATTGTTCGTAAGATACAGATCTGGACAAGGAATCCAGGTCCCTGAACCCAAAGCTGAAGCTTTTGTCCCTTTTGGCACTGTGCCTCCAGCACAGGAGAATACTCTTTTTTTTTAAAAAAAAAATTGTGATTCATTAATATATATCTATGTCATCTTAAGGTTGATTGACCAATAATGACTATCACAGCGGCTCAAACCAGAGACTCTACAGAACGTTAGGTATGTATTTATAGTAACTTAATATGGTAGGTGGTTCAAGAAAGGTTTCACAGTTATAAAAAAATCATAAAGCTAAAAATTTCAGGAGAATATTCTTATGTGGAGAGGTTTTATGCATAGCATAGAGAACTGTATTCCTCTCTTATCTAAGTTCCTTTTGGCATACAGCGTCCCTGGGACAGGTCTGGAGACTGCCTGTGTCAGCAAGGGTGTGGAAACTCCACCTCCTACCCCAAACCTCACCTTTCACATCACTTAATCTTTAAAATTAAATTTTTATATATTTTGTGTGTAAATATGTGTGCTGGTGTGAATGTGAATGACCCCCCCCCCATAGGTTCATATATTTGAATGTTTGGTCCCCAGCTAATGGAACTGTTTGGGAAGGATTAGGAGGTGTGGCCTTGCTAGAAGAGGTGTGTCACTGTGGGTGGACTTTGAGGTTTGAAAAGCCCATGCCAGGCTCAGTCTTGCCCTCCTTTTCAGTTTCTTGCATCCATCTTTCAGTTAGGATGTGAACTCTAGCTACTTACTGTTCTGACACCATGCTTGCTCGCCTGCCTACCTGCCACCATGCTTCCCACCACGATGATCATGGACTAACTCTCTGAAATTGTCAGCAATCCCACAATTAAGTGCTTTATTTTGTACATTATCTTGGTCATAGTGTTTTGTCACAACAAGAGGAAAGTAACTAAGACAATGTGTGTATATATATATATATATATATATATATATATATATATATATGGTCACATGTGTGCCTTACCATGTATGTAGGGCCAAGACTTTCAGGAGTCAGTTCTGTCCTTCCACCGTGTGGGTCATGGGCATATTGTCAGGCTTGGTGGCAGGAGCCATTACTCGCTGAGCTGTTTCATCAGCCCGGCATCACTTTATCTGCATCCTTTGGAATTGATTTTATATGAGACCTATAACCAAGTTTTCATTTGAGTTCCATGAGCCTCTCAAGAAAATAACTGAACTCAGGGATTGGGCTGTGGGACCTGTTTTTAGTTGGTTGGTAAAGCAGTTCAAGAGGCATCTAAAGTGGGATGGAGCACAGCCTTGGGACTGAGCCTGCAACCTGTGCGATCTGGCACTGTCTCCAGGTCAGTCGCATCAGAAGTGAATTCAATTAGAGGACTCTCGGCAGGAGCCCTCTGCCTCCTCACTGCACACTTGGCCACTGACGATAAGCCCTGTCACCTGAGGTCACAGAAGTCTTCTGGGTTGACTGCTATGCCATGAAAGCCATGGATCAACAGACACTGGATTTTACTAACATCGAAACTACACATGATAGTCTGTATTTATTTATTTAATGAGGATATGTGCCTGGATGAGTGTGTACCATGTATGTATAGGTGCCCACACAGGCCAGAAGAGGGTTTCAGGTCCACTGGAACTGGCGTTAAAGGTGCCTGATGTGGGTGCTGGGAACAAAACCTGAGTCCTCTGAAAGAGCAGCAAGAGTTTTCACCACTGACCACTTCAGCCACTCCCCCTTTAAAGAGAGAAATTGCAAGTGTTATTAAAAAGTAGGGGTCAGAAGTAGCTCACTTAGTAGCTCAGCATGTATAAATCTTGGGTTTGATTGCCAGCACCATGTAAACCCGGCATTGAGGTGCAGCCCCACCGTGGTGGTGTAATCCCATCACTTGGGTAGTGGAGGCAGGAGGGTCTGAAGTTCAAAGTCATCCTCGGCTGCAAGGTGAGTTAGAGGCCATCCTGAGACACATGAAACTCCATCCTAGAAAAAAAAAAGAGGAGAGAAAAGAAAGAAGTGGAGAAAGGAGATTTAGCTAGGCATAGTGGCTCATTCTTGTACTTTAGCACTTACATGGTTGAAGGCTTAGCTGGGAGGCTCACATATTGGAGGTCAGCCTGGGCTTGAAGGGAGAGACCTGTCTAATAAAAAATGTAGTCTAATTAGGTGGTGGTGGCACATGCCTTTAATCCCAGCGCTTGGGAGACACAAGCAGGCAGATCCCTGAGTTCAAGACCAGTCTGGTCTACAGAGTGAGTTCCAGGATAGCCAGGCTATGTAGAGAAACCTTGTTTTGAAAAACCAACCAACCAACCAAGCAACCAGCCAGCCAGCCAGCCAGCCAGCCAACCAACCAACCAACCAGTCTGATACACCTAATGCAATTAGATTCCTGGTGGTCATTCCTACCCTAGCAACAGTGAAAGACTTGTTTTAAAGCTTAAGTCCTCGCTAGAAAGAGAGCTGAAAATTTCATATGCTATGAAGTCATCGTCCTCATTTCCCTCCTCCCACTCAGCATAATCAGCATCCATGGCCACGAAACTTGTGTGAAATCTGGCACAACATGAAGTAAACTGTCAGCTCCCTCTGGATCATTGGCTGCAGCCCAGCCGTGATCTGGCTGGTTATGGAGTCAGAGCTTCAGCCTCAGCTGAGACTCTCCCTGCTCCAAACACAAGCCCCAAGCCAGGACTGTGCATGCATCGGGAAGGCCACTAAGACCCTTGAGGCCTCCGCCTTCATGGTTAGGGGCTCGTAATTCACAGGAATTTATTATGTTCTTTATAAAGAGTTGGGAGAGAATCTGGAATCTGGATCTGGGGTTTCATGTACTTGGGAAGCCAAGCCATGGAGGTCGTGGTGAGTTGGAGGCTAGTTTGAGACCCTGTCTCAAAAGATTCAACAACAACAACAACAGCACCAGCACCAGAAGAAAGGAGTTCAGCATTTCCTAGCCCAAAGCAATGATAAAAGTTCAAGGAAGAGGAAATAATTTTTACCCTTATTTGAGCACTGTGTAATATATTTATGTATCATATATCACATCCCTCATATGCATAATTATTATGTGTCAACTATATACTGAAAAATGAACAAGGTGCACAGTAATACCTCTGTTGTGCTTTCTCAAAGATAGCATTCTCTGTGTCAGCGCTGTACTAAACCGCAAGCTAGCTGGGGATTGAAACTATACATGGGCAGATTCTTTTTTCTAAAGTATATTTATTGTGTATGTGTTGTGTGCACATGCCACAGTGCAGATATGGAGGTCAGAGGACAACCTGAGGGAGTTGGTTTCCTCCCTTCTATAGCAGTCTTCCCTAGACCACCAGTCCCCAATTAATGACAAGGAAGACTTATTATTAATTGTGAGAGCTTGACCTTTAGCATAGGCTTATTTCCAACTAGCTCTTATAACTCAAACTAACCTGATTTTATTAATCTATGTTTGCCATGTGGTTCTTTACCTTCCTCCACAATGTATATCTGACTTCCTCAGTGTCTCGCTGGTGTCTCTCGTGCGCCTCAGATTCTTCTCCAGAACCCCTCTCTCCCTAGAAGTCCTGCCTATTCTCTCCTGTCTAGCGATTGGCCATTCAGCTCTTTGTTAAACCAACCAGAAGGTGCCTATCATACAGTGTGATCAAACATCCCACAATATTCTTCACTGACTTAGGGATTAAGCTTGGACTCTCAAAGGTATCTTTTCTCTGTTCTGTATAGAAGAACCCTGTGTCTTTTAACGATTTAGCTTGTTTTTAAAATTTTACTTAAAATGATGTATTTACGTCTTTATTACCTGTTTTCTTCTCCTCTTCTTCCTTGCATACGCGGCACGATAGTTCAGGCTTTGTCTCTTTGCCTTTTGTGTCTCTAGTGTGCAGTACCGTAGTTGAATAAGGGTGTGTTGCACGCACAAATGACTACTGCAAGGCTAGACTGTCAGGCTCACATTCTCTAGAGCACTGCTTCTCACCCGTCCAAAGGCTGTGACCCTGTAACATAGTTCTTCATGTGGTGGTGATCCCAACTACAAAATTATTTCATGCCATTTAATAACTGTAATTGTGCTACGGTTATAAATCATAATATAAATATCTGTGTTTTCCAGTGTTCTTAGGGGACTCCTTGACCCCACAGGGGTTGTGAGCATATGTTGAGAGCGAGCATACGTTGAGAGTAGCTCCTCTAGAGCATGGAAGATTGTAATGGAAGTGCTATTTCCTGGCCTCTTGGCCTGGGTAGAGCCCACTGGGGATAGACTTAAGCTTCAGAGATTCTTCTGGCAAGAGAACCTTATGCTTAGTGCACAAAAATTGTCAGCTGGTCCCCAAGGATATGAGTTACATTCAGCTAAAGGACAATACTTTGCTTTAACCTTCCCAACTGTATTCTAGAAGGAATCATCCCAGAAAGGGTTATTATACTTATCATGTAAGTGCTGTTTTGGGTTAGTGTGGAGAATTAGTTAGGAGGTTAGGGAATGTAGCCCTGTGGAGAGCCTCAAGTGATCTTTAGACCTAGCTGTCTGGTTTCGGTCCTCAGGAAGGATAGTCTTGTACTGAAATTATCAAAACAACAATTATTATTATTATATTTATTATTTGTAATTTATTACTACTACTAATTTTTACTATAAATGCACCAAACTGAGAGCTCTACGTAAGAGTAGAGAGATTCCACTTTGCGGTCTCACGGTGTTTACTTTGCCTCTGACTGCAGAGATGAAGGAGCTGTGGCAGGGAGGATGGAGGTAGCCCCAACAGGCAGGTGTGTACCTCTGCAACAGCAGCCACAGCGCTCACCTGGTGAGGAGCGACGGTCAGAATGACATGGGAGCATCACGACAAACACAGAGACGAGTCCAAGGAGGGCGCTGGAACTGTCATGTTCCTCCAAAATGAATCTATGTACAAAAACACACCAAAACTCAGTGGTTCACAACATGAATACCACACATGTGCATCCCACTTGCAAATGCTGAAATCCGGTGTGGTGGTTCTGTTTCAGGCTGTGGGTCCAATTCAAGGCTGCTGCACAGATTTCCCTCGTCAACACTGTCAGCCAAAACCATGCCAACATGTCGAGAAAAAAAAAAACCCTGCATTTCTTAATATTCCACTGACAAACGCATTATATAATCAAGCACAGTATCGATGGATCATGAGAATGTCTCTGCCTACCCTAGCAAGAGATCTCAAAAAGTCACATGGCCAAGGCTGTGATACTTAATGCGATTGCAAGGAGGGGGTAAGGAAAGGAGAACAGTAATCCAATCTGCCTCAGGATGGCTGTTCAGAGGCACAAGTGAGTTACCATGGAGACACCCTGAATGAGAACAAGGGACTAAACTGCGAGGGCTGGGAGCTCAAGACTATTCCTTTATTACTGTCACTTTGAAAAATATGTTTGATTTTTACCCTCCTGGCTAAAATCTGAACCTCCTTGATTTTTACCTCCAGGCTAAATTTAAGTTTTAGGAAGCTGAAATGGCAAAAAGCAAGGTGGAGTAGTCTGAGCACACAGAGCTTGTAGCCTGTAGCTTTACGCCAAAGAGCCACAGGCTAATGTGGTGTAATTAGATAACCAGGGCTGTGGTGAGCAAAGAAAGCATGTTCATGCTTCAGGTTTTTGTACGATTACAGAAAAATATATTGTTTTTTGCTCTGGTTGATGTAGTAGCATTTCATTTGTATTTTGATAAATAAAGCTTGCCTGAAGATCAGAGAGTAAAACAGCCACACTGGTCAGCCTTACAGATCAGGCGGTGGTAACACACACCTTTAATCCCAGTGGTGCACACCTTTGATCCCAGAACTAGAGAGGAATATAAAACTGAAGGAGGCGGCTCCCAGTCAGAGTCTCATTCTGAGGAGGCAAGATCATCATTTTCATATTGAGGTAGAGGTAAGAGCCAGTGGCTGGCTGCTTTGCTTTTCGTGTCTTCAGGTTGAACCCCAATTTCTTTCTCTGAGTTTTTATTAATTGTGCTTCAGGTTGGGGTAAAAGTTTAAGTGTGTCTCTCAAGGTTCGTGTGTACAAAGGTTGGTCTCAGTGCAGCAATGCCAAGAGACAGTAAGATCTGTTGGAGGTAGAGCACGCGAAGCAGTCATTGCCCTCCCCAAACTAGTGTCATTTTCTAGGACCCAGTTTTAGTGAGAATGAACTGTTATACAAGAGCAAGCCTGGACCTCTCCTAACTCTATGACTCCTGATTTCGTCACGAAGTCACCCACCATGATGTTCATACAGACACGTGATTATGGTACCACCGCCATGCTGATGACCAGTCAGCCTTTGTCGGGGTCTAGTGCTAGCCTGAACCATAAATTATTTCTCTGGACCAGACCCCAACATAAACTGTCTCTCTTGACCGGCGTGGAGGCGCGGGAATAAAGACACAACTCACATGGCTTTATCGGGAGGGAGATTCTCAGAGATCCCCCATGAAATCCTGAGTTCACATCCTGAAGAATTCTTCCTCTTTATCCTCCAAACAGCCTTATACCAAAACATAAACTGAGGGGGAAATTCTTTAGGTTTCTGTTTCCTAGGTAACCAGGTGAATGACTTTTAGTCACGTCCACATTTACCTGTGTTTGATGTCATGTCTTCCTACACTGTATGCTAGCTCAGTCATGTAGGCTGGAACTAGCGTCTCCCTTCAGTCGTCCTCCAAATTACAGAGAAGGAGCAAAGCAACATCCTGACCCTTTGTTAGGTTAGAGACAGCCTGTCTGGAAGGCTACAGGGTACGTGACCACTTCAGGTGTGGTCTATGGTTTGAGAGCCTGGCAACCATATCATATAGAAATATGGGCCTACGAGCCTTCTGGACTGTGAGTTAAAAAAACCAAAATCCTTTCTTTCTGCATTGCTCATCTCCAGGTGCTTTTGTAAAAGAGAACTGAGGAATTCATTCTTCCTTGCTCTTCATTTATGAGTCTGATTCTGCAGAAATTGACTTTCATATCTAATGAATTATTTCAACACTTCACCCAATGTTGTGGAGAAATGAAGTTTGGACATAATTGATATTTGTAGATATTAAGAATGTGCTCCTTCACTGGGCTGAGCTCCCAAAGTCCAGCTGAAGAGTGGGAGGAGTGAGAATATGAGCAAAGAGGTCAAGACTATGATGGGGAAACCCACTGACACAGCTTACCTGAGTTAATGGGAGCTCACCAACTCTGGGCTGACAGTGAGGGAACCAGAATAGGACCAAACCAGGCCCTCTGAATGTGGATGACAGTTGTATGGCTGGGGTAGACTGTGGGACCACTGGTAGTGAGACAAGGATTTATCTCTAATGCTTTTACTGGGTTTTTGGAACCCATTCTCTTTGGAAGGATACCTTGCTCAGCCTAGATATAGTGGGAACGGCTTTGGTCCTACCTCAAAGTAATGTGTTAGATTTTGTCGACTCCCCATGGAAAACCTTACCCTCTCTGAAGGGTAGATGGGGGTAAAGTGGGAGGGGAAGATGGAGGAAGAAAGGGGGTGGGAACTGGGATTGGTATGTAAAATCAGAAATAGGTTTTTTTAAAAATGAATAAATAAAAAAATAAATAAAAGAAAGAATGTGCTCCTTCAAGTATCAAAACTGTTTATTTTAACCTTTTAAAAAATCAAAACAAAAAAGAGTTTTATTTTTATGATCTCACTGCTGATAGTTGTAGCACGATTAATTAAAAACCCAGAGACAGAGATTGGGGTTCAACCTGAAGGTCAGAAAAGTAAAACAGCCAGTCACTGGCTCTTACCTCTACCACAGTTCGAAATAGCGATCCCACCTCCAGGAATCTCAGAATGAGACTGTGTGTAGGATCCATTTGTCCATTGGTGCTGATCTGACCTTTAAGGGCCCAAGTATCCTTTTGCATTCTAAATTAACATTTTCAAAAGCCAGAGAGTCAATGAGTACTCATCTAACTTCTGGATCTGCTACCCCTATTTGTACAGATTTAGTTAATCTTTGCAAAAAGTCACTAAATGGTTCTCTTGGGCCTCGTATAGCCTTAATATATGATTTAATTCTTTTTCCTCATTCTTGAATCTTGTCCCAAGCATTCAAGGATGTTGTATGTCATAGGGATAATATGTGTCCATTATATATAACTTGACTATCTGGATCAGCAGATAGTAACCCTGGAGACAGCGAAGGACAGATATCAGGGCTCTGTTGAGGTCCATTAAAGGTTAAGAGAATGGAATCTGAGGGCTAGAGAGATGGCTCAACGGTTAAAAGCATTACCTGCTCTTGCAGAAGATCCAGGTTCATTTCTCAGCACCCACATGGCAACTCACAACCATCTATAACTCCAGTTCCTGGGGGTGGGCCCAATGCCCTCTTCTACATGTTGCACAAACATGAATGTAGACAAAACCCCCATACATATGAGAGAGGGGTGGAGAGCGGGAGAGGGAGAGGGAAGGAGAGAGAGAGAATGAAAATGGAATTTACCTCTGATGGTGGGTGGAGGATGGTATTCTGATCCGCTGCGAAGATTAGAATCCTACATAGTATCTTCTACCCCCTTAAGAGTCAATCCAGTTGGGCCCGTCAGTCATCCATTCGAGACCACTCTTTAAGAAAACTGGTCCACCTAAAGCCATGGTAAGGAGATGGGAAGAATAATTATCCCTCTAATGAGATAATAAACAGCCTTCCAGAAACCTCTCTCCTGTGTGGCTTGTGGAGCTCCTATCATGTACCTCTTCAGCCTGCCCACTCTTCCGAGTTGCTCAGAAAAGTGTAGCATTCCCTTTTCCTTCTATTTCTCCCCCCCCCCCCCCAGATACTAAGCAAAATCTGGGCTTGCTTTCCTGGACATTCTGGGCTTTGCCACTCTTTTTCTCGGGCTGAAACGCCCCTCTCCCGCATGTATGCAGCTGTTTGTCTGCCAAGAGGCAGCTTGCTGGCCTCCATACTGAACCAGTCGGCTTTCTTAAAGGCCTGTCTTTCTCTTTTCCTCTTCTCCCTCTCCCTCCTTTGGGGAACTGCCGAGATTTACATGTTGCCTGTCCTGCTCTTCTCTCAAACCAACAAAACTGTCCTCATTCCAAGCCTGTTTCCAAATTCTTTATTAGCAGACTAAGAACCCAAGGAAGGAACGCCTGTTTCCCTGGTAACCTCACGTGTGGCCTTGGATGTGTTATCCTCCAGTCCCAGCTCCTCCCTATTGACTAGGTTTATGGGCCTGCGCTGTTGGACCTGAATCTGGGTTAGATTTTAAAGAAACTCACGATAGAGTGATAGAGTGTTATTATTTTAGGAAGGAAGATAAGTCTGACAGCATAGATAACATTAACCTGGGTGAAAGGATCCAGACGCAAAGGACAGGTATATGCATCTACTTACCTGAAATATCTAGAACAGCTCACTTCATCTTGGCAGGAAAGTAGGCTGGGGTGGGCAAAGTCTAGGGGGAAGAGAAGAGTTTTGGTTTAACAGATTGGACCTTTAATCCTGGAAGATGAAAGACATTCTAGAGATGGCAGGGAAGTTGTCTAGTCCAAAGGATCTTTCTGGATGTCTCTGTGAGGTGTGGGTTTTTTTTTCTTTGTATTTGGATTGGTAAACTGAGGAAAGCAGACGGTCTTCATTAGAATAAGGGGAATTATCCCATCATCCTACCCCTGAGATAGCTAAAGAGAAGAAAAAGGCAGAGAGAAGGTGGATGTGCCCTCTCCGCCTGGGAACACATTTCTCCCATGCTGGACATCATCAGTACATTGTTTCTCAGGCTTCCAGACTTCAGACTTACATCATCATCCCTCATTCTCCGTCTTATGACTGAGAGGAAATAGTCAGGCAGAAAATTAAGGGGTGACGGAGAGAAAGGAGCCCTTTACTGCAGAGTCTGGTTAAAGTCTCTCCAGCTGAGAGTCAGAAATTCCAGCGCAATTAACAAAACTTGTGAAGCTAGCCTTCATGGGGGCAATATCCATTTTGGAGCTATTCCAAATGAGAAGGTTAACTAACGTAGCAATGGACCATACTTAAGGCCTAACTGTATGTGATCTTTGAGTGTGATTTTGCTTTCTCCTGGACGTAAACCTGCAATTTTCTGGGAACTTTACAGTGAGACTAAAAATTTTGTTTATGGAAAAACCATGTTTTGACTCCCTTGGAAAGCCCTTGTGGTCTATGGTTTTACCTTGTCAGCTGTAGTTATATCTACTACACCTCAGGAACCTTCTGTGATCTCATATGTGTCCCTTAGTAGCCCTTCAAGTTGTGAATTCAGAGGTCACCATATGTGTGGCTGTTGCTCTCTCTGGAGCAGCCCACACCCACACTGGCTTAAGTGTTTTCCTAAGCATCTTTCTTCCTACTGACTTGTCCTAAAATTCTTTCCTGTAGACAATCTGGCTTCCTTTAATGGAAGTCTCAGAGAACTCCCCAGGCTGCTACCACCAACGGTGTGAAGCTGTGTCTCCGTCATGGGCCCTGCTGTCACTCATGGCTCCTGCTTCTGCCTTGCCCAACCCTACCTCACAACGTTTCTTATTCTTTCTTTTTTTCCTTTTCTTTTTTCTTTTTGTCTTTTTGAGACAGGGTTTCTCTGTATAACAGTCCTGGCTGTCCTGAAACTCACTCTGTAGACCCGGCTGGCCTCGAACTCAGAGATCCACCTGCCTCCGCCTCTCGAGTGCTGGAATTAAAGGCGTGCATCACCACTGTCTGGCTAACACAACATTTCTAAGTATACAATGTGTATTAATATAGAGGATGTATGATTACCAGAGATCAAGACTATGGTAAACAAGAGAGGAAGGATAGACAGGGAAGGTCTTTGTTTCTAGTCTTCTTAGGAAGCGGCTCACTCAACCAGAGAGGAAGGATAGGCAGGGAAGGCCTTTGTTTCTGGTCTTATTAGGAAGCAGCTCACTCAGCCAGCATGGGGGTTCACACTTGCATTCCTAGCATTTGAATTCCAGGCCAGCCTAGTTACACAGTAAAAATTTCAAAAAATAAGAAGCAAGCAAGGTTGTCATTCCATGCTGATTACCTGAAAATCATAACCTCATCAAGAGATGAATTAGAGTCATACATTAAAATACATGGAAGAAAACTGTCTCCTCCTTTGGGGGCTAATATTTGATTCAACCCTGTTTCTTTGCAATCACTGAATTTTATTTTTGGTTCATTTATCAGCCACCCAACTGGTATCAAACTTTTTGTTTGGTTAATTTTGGCAGGGTATCATGGTAGCCCAGGATGGCCTGGACCTCATCTTGCAGCCCAGGATGGCCTCAGACTTGTGGCAATCCTGAGTCCCCCATGTGCTGAGATTATAAGGTGTGGCTCTCATACCTGGTTCAAACGTTTTCCCTTATGTTTTATTGTTCCTTTACTTAGTATGTATGGTGCATATGAGTGCCTGCCCACAGAGTCCACAGGAGGACACTGGATTTCCTGCTTTGCCACTCTCTGCCTTATTCCCAAGACAGAGTCTCTCCCTGTACTGGCTGGCCAGCAGGCTCTCCAGATCTGCCCGTCTCCAGCTCCCAGCACTGTAATCAAAGACAGTGCAGCCACGCCACGCCCACCACCACGTGGGGTGCTGGGGTCGTAAACTCGGGTCTTTATGTTTGCACAACTAGTGCTCTTACTCATTTCTGTTTTTTTTTCTCTTCTCAAGTGTGAATGTGTGTGTATCGCACGTGCACACAGATGTGTTGGTAGATGCACCTGTGCATGCGTGGAGGCCAGAACAATAGAAGTGCCCTCTTTATCACTCTGCCTCATTCCTGTGGGGTGGGTGGGGCCTCTCACTGAGCCAAGAGCTCTCACTGTTCTGCTAGGCTGGCAGTCAGCGAAGCCCATGGATCCTGCTGTCCTCACCTGCCTCAGTCCAGGGGTTACAGGTGTGTGTGTGTGGGGGACCACATCTGCCATTTATGTGCATGCTGGAATCTGTACTGTGGTCCTCAGGATTGCACAGCATGTTCAGTGATTAAACCATTGAGCTACCTCTCTAGCCTTCAAACTTCTAAATCTCACGTTCTCCGTGTGTTCCTGGCCACCTCGTGCTCTCTCCTTTGATATAGCCACTATACTGTCGCACATAGCCCAAGCCAGCTTCAAACTTGCTGTGTAGCAGAGATGTCCTTGAACTCCTGATCTTCCTGCCTCTTCCTCGAAGGTTCTGGGATCACAGGTGTGCACACCGCACCTGTGCAGAGGACATTTTCAGCCCTCTCCTCTTCTTGCTGGAGGAAGACTGTTGAGGCCTTTGCAGGGCTGAGATGCAGCAGAGGCACCCAGGAAAACTGTCCCGACTGTTTCTCACCAGCATTCATTAGGAATCAATTGCTCCTGGGTCCTGGAAAACTACCCGCTTCCCTTGGTCCTCACACTTACTCCAGCTGGAATGATGCTCAGCACACGGAGCTAATACAGTGCCTCCGCCGTCTGCTCGTCCTTAAATCCTGGGCCTGCTTCACTGTCTCATATTTTCCGCATCCTGTATTTGATTTTCAGGTCTTGAGGGACTTTCTTCTGTCTTTTCCTGGAACAGTTGGGTTTCCTCTGGAACTCCACCACTCCTGTAGTTTCCAATTCCTTCATGAAGGCTTTGAGTTTAGCCAGCTTCTTAATCAGGTCATTCCTCTCTAATCTACGCTGCTCACTGTCTGCTTTTCCCCACCGCATACCCTTCCCCTGCAGGTCCAGATGTTTTCTTTTTCAACACTGAGGATGAAAACCCAGGGCATTACACACGCTAGGCAAGCACTTTCCCACCAAGCCACGTTCCAGCTAGCATTTGTTTTTGTAACAAAATCCTCTGCTATTTGTTTTGTCCCAGAGATCAAGACATAAAATGAATGGGTTCCAAGTTTTCCGAAAGCATTTTGAATAAACAACATCAGCAATAATTGAACATTTTGTGACAGCTGTTGTATTAGTTCATTTTCTGTTGAGGTATCAAAATAGCAGAGGTTGGGTACTTTTTTATTTATTTATTTATTTATTTATTTATTTATTTATTATTTTTCCTGAAGAACCGAGGTTGGGTACTTTTATAAAGAAAAAGGACTTATTTGCCATAGTTCTGGGGCTTTAAGAACATACGGCGGGCGTTGATTTGGTCCTGGTTTGGCCTCAGGATAGATGTTGTCACAGCTGCAGTGAGGTATGTAGAAGAAACCAGAGAGAGAGCTGGAGGGAGGGAGGGAGGGAAGGAGGAGGGAAGAATCAAGAGAGAGAGAGAGAGAGAGAGAGAGAGAGAGAGAGAGAGAGAGAGGAGAATGCCAGAGGGAAGGGGAGCTAAGAGACCATCCTTGCTCAGCTAATCAATAACCCATTTTGTGAGAGCTGTCCAAGATACCAAGAGAACAGATTAGTCCTTCCCAGAGCTGATGCCCCATTTCTTCCCAATAGGCTTCAGCACTTACAGGTTCTACCATCTCTCAGCATCGCTCTGTGAAAGTGGGGAACAGCCACAGAATGAACACATCCGAGCCATAGCTAAGCCGTAGAGTGTATTCTCTACTGAAAATGCTTGGCAGGGTCCAGCAAGATGGCCCAGTTAATGGGCCAACGTACCTGCTGCTGCCTCTGACAACCAGAGTTCAGGGTCCCCAGGACCACATGGCGGAAGGAGAGAACTGACACTTGGAAGTTGTTTTCTGAATTCCACATGCGAGCCATGGTGTGTGTGTGTAAATACATGTAACAACAGTTTTTTTTTTAAAGTACTTGGCTGGGCTGGGGATGCAGCTCAGTTGATATAATACATTCACGAGGCCTTGCGTCTGTTCCCAAGCACTGAATAAGAGTGGGACTGATAGTGTATGCCTATAATCTATAATCTTAGATTCAGGAGTCAGAGGCAAGAGAATCAGAAGTTCAAGGTTATCTTTGGCTACATAATGTGTCTGTTGCAAGCATGTGAAAACTTGTCTCAAAAAAAGTAACAAGAAAACACTTGACAAATATTAGGCTTGTTTTATTGTGATTTATCTTTAGTTTTCTCCTTTCCTAATCGCCCCTTATATCTTTGGGGGTATAGGGTCCCAATAGGTCTAGGAAAGTTCTTGGTCTTGTTTATAAAAGAATTTACAAATGGATACAAGTCAGGCATGGTGTCTTCAAATCCAGCATTCAGGTGTCAGAGGCAAGAGGCTATCTATGAGTTTGAGGCTAGCCTGGTCTACATAGAAAGCTCCAAGACAGTCAGGGCTATATAGAGAGACCATGTCTCAAAAAGCCAATCCCTCCAAAATAATGATACGGAAGAGAACTTGAAGACAGTTTATTGGAGTTAGAAAAGATCAGACAAATGAGAGGTTTTGGAAACTGAAGGGAGGAGGCAAATGAAAAGAGGACAAGTTAAGCATTTAACAGAATACAAACACAAGGACACACTTTAGAGGAAGGAGATCACACAGATCACACTCGCTGAGTAGATAAATAGAAAGGTAGGAAGCAGCTAGAGGACTCAGTGGGTAGTGGCACCTGCCACCAAGCCTGGTGACCCGAGTCCAATCCCTACAGCTCTCTTGGTGAAAGGAGAGTTAGGTCTCAAACCCAGGACAAATGGTAACAGAGGTGTCTATTTAAAATATCACACTGGACCTGGCCATCAGTCCCTGCCTGTTACAGGCTGTGACCGGCATACCCCGTCCCCTACCCTGAATTCTCTAGTCTAGGGCTGGGCTGTCCTTACCCCAGCTGTTCTTGTCTGTATCACCCAGGCATTTTGATTACACCTGTCCTTTTTATCCTTCATTCTTTACCCTCTGGGTCTGTTGGTCTCCTGGTCTCCTGGCTCTTCCCTCCCCCCTTCCCTCAATGGTCCAGCTCAGGGTCATGTCCACTCTGGACTCTCCCAGTTATGTCTGCCTCCCCCTCTTTCGACATACCCCGGAGCAGCCATGTCCTCCTTTTTATTTTTATGCATTCAAAACCCAAACCTAACAGGTTTTCCTCTGATCACTCCCCAAGTGCTGTAGCATGTGTGTACAAGCACATACACATATATTATAAATAAAAATCTCAAAAGAGCAGTAACATTTTGAGTCAGTTATGAGTAGCTTGGAAATTTTGCCTCGCAGCATTTGAAAAATGTCTCCTCTAGAATTTTTTAATCTCCTTATCTACCAGGGTATTAGTAACCACAGATTAGGTCATTTGTCTTAGAGGATGTGGACGCGTTGCTATGTTTTTATTAACATAGTTTCTACCCCTGCCAATTCCTCCTATGCCCCATCACACTCCCTCTCAAATTCTTATTATTCACACACACACACACACACACACACACACACACACACACACACACGTGTATAAATGCCACCTGAGGAGTCCACTTAGCGTTACCTTTATGTATTAAGGGCTGACTGCTTGGGATTGGATTCCATCAGGAGGTTTGTCCCTGGAGAAGATGGCCATCAGTTGCCAGTAAGAGCTATGGCATCTTACCTTCCAAATTGTCTCGATTCAGTCTGAGGAGGCGTCTGGCTGCAGCTATCCCAGAGAAAAGTTCTCTGTGAACGTTGAATAGAAGAGAC